CTCACTGTGACCTAGACCACCACTGTACTGGAGCAGCGCTCACTGTGACCTAGACCACCACTGTACTGGAGCAGCGTTCACTGTGACCTAGTAGATTAATATATGCCTTCAGATTGACGTGTGGTCGCTGCTGTTGTCAAGATAGGACTTTACTTTGTAGCCCTGGCTGTCCTGGAACTCAATGTGGAGATCAGGCTGGCCTGATATGCTTGCCTTGCTTCCTGAGTGCTGAGATTTAAAGGTGTGTGCCACCACACCTGACATTTTAAAAGTATCATTTATATTTTAACTATATACCTCAGAGTTTCCCCAAAGCTTTTTTTCTCATAGAAACAGATTCTTCAACCAGAGCCACACGCTTTTGTATTGAGTTTTCCCTTTCCTTCCCTGCCTAATCCGCTCCTTCTCTTCCTTTTTCTTTTGTAAGTGGAGTCTTACTATGTTGCCTTCTGCTCTTGAGCTCAACTGATAATCAACCTTCTGGGTATGTAGACTACAGACATGCTCTGCTGTGCCTGGAAAAGTGTCATTGATTCTTAGTTCCAGGCATTAATCAAGTGACTTAAACATTCCCAAGGTTACCATTTTATACATATTTCACATTAGACATTAATCAAAGAATTAATTAATATTTATATACTGCTGTAATAGAGCAAAATGGTATCTTTTGGTTTTGTTCATTTAATAATCTGAATTAGACCCTTCTCCATGTTGCTGATGATACATGTGATGATACAAATGTGGATTGCGCAGGGCAGCGGTGGCACACACCTTTAATCCCAGCTCTTGGGAGGCAGAGCCAGGAAGATCTCTGTGAGTTCGAGCCCAGACTGGTCTACAGAGTGAGATCCAGGACAGGCACCAAGATTACATAGAGAAACCCTGTCTCGAAAAACAGACAAACAAACAAAACAAAAAACAAATATGGATTGTAGTGCTAAGAAAATGGAGAAGAGGGGCTGGAAAGATGGCTGCTCTTCCAGAGGTCCTGAGGTCAATTCCCGGCACCATACAGTGTCCACAACCATCTATAATGGGATCCTGTGCCCTCTGCGGGTGTATAGACAGACATGTAGACATAGCACTCATATACATAAAATACATAAATAAAATCTATAAAAAGAGATGTAGAAGAGAAAGGGTAGAAGAAAAGATTATTTCTGACCCACATTAGCCTAAGGATAAAATAGTTTCCTGTGTTGTGTGATCTCATCCAATTTGGGGACTCTAAGAATAACAATCCAAAACTTCCTTATCCCTTCCTTCCCCAACCTAGAGGGACATGTCTTCAAAAAAGAAAAAAAAGTAAAAGAAAAGAAAGAAAATTAATTTTCTTACCTTAGTAATAGATTTTGGTTGGTTGGTTGGTTGGTTGGTTGGTTCATTGGTTCATTCACTCATTCTTTCTTTCTTTCTTTCTTTCTTTCATTCATTCATTCATTCATTCATTCATTCATTCATTCGTGGACATCATCTCATCTTGCATACCAGGCCTGCCTATGCTTTGCCTCCTGTGTGCTAGGATTAGAGATAGGGTCTGATCTTTGTAGACCATGCTAGCTTTGAATTCTTGATCATCCTAGGTCCGTAAGTGTTGGGATGTAGGTGAGTGCTGTCACCCTTGGTGCAGTAATAGACTTTTGTCAGAGTGTATTGCTACAGCACACAGTCCTTGTCCTCCAAGCATCTGACGGTGGAAGAACTAGGTCATTGTTTTCTGAGTACTTAAGCCCATTACCAGTCTCTTTTTTTTTGCACAGTTTTGCATTCATAACTTATGTTTGTATAATGTATGGTAAGATTGGTTTATTTGAATTTTAGAAAACAGAAAATGCATAGTTTGAGAATTCAGATTGTAGGACAAATTTGGATGTTTGATATGAAATAATAGTAAGCTAATTTTACTTTTGATGCTGAGACAAAAGGATTGTAAAGATTATAGCCAGCTAGTATTAGCCCAGTTATTTTCTTTAGTGTACAGTGCAGATAATGCATTATGAAGTTTCTTTGTATTTGAGGATGACTTGTGTGTTTGAATGAGAATAGAGAAAGTTGATTATATAGAATTCTTTTCAACAAGATGTTCTATTTCTTTGTTACCATAAAAATAATTTCCAACCCGGCGGTGGTGGCACACATCTTTAATCCTACCTAGCACTTGGGAGACAAGTGAATTCTGTGAATTCGAGGCTAGCCTGGTCTACATAGTGAGGCAAGCCAGGATAGGCTCCAAAGCTACATAGAGAAATCCTGTTTCGACCCCCCCCCCAAAAAAAAACAACCCAGTGATGTTGAAATAGGGTTGTCAGAATGCTGCTTTGTAATGCTGTTTGACATAGATATTTAGAAATTTGTACCAGTATTTAGTTTTATTAAAAATTTAGAATTTTTAGCCGGGCAGTGGTAATGCATGTCTTTAATCCTAGCACTCAGGAGGCAGAGGCAGGTGGATCTCTGTGAGTTCCAGGCCAGCCTGGGATACAGAGTGAGTTCCAGGAAAGGCTACAAAGCTACACAGAGAAACCCTGTCTCAAAAAAAAATTTAGAATTTTTAAATTTTCATAGCTGAAATATTTAAACTGATAGTCTTCTTTGAAATGTGTCTAGTTATACATGTAGAAATGATTTATGTATAGCATGTTTATTATAAAAATTGTAGCTGGTATTTCCAATTATTGGACATAAATGCAGATGAAAACCGAGGAGCAAACCATCTAGCTCTGTTGTGGAATTCCAAGGACTGTGTGCTTTAGCTTGCAGAAATCTTATTTCCTCACAGGTCTGGAAGGGTGGAGCCGGCCAGTGGCAGTGGCCTGGAAAGCTGGAGCCCTTTGTCATGGCTTGCTTTGAGGCTCTTTGGTTGCTAGGCCTCCCACTGCATGACGGTTAGGCATGTCCTTGGAGTCATGTGTCATGGTTGTGTCCCGTGTGCCTCCCACCCCCACTCCAGGATCTTGTTCTGTAATCCTGGCTGGCTAGAACTTGCTATGTAGCCCAGGTTGATTTTGAACTTGCAGCAGTCCTTGCCTCAGGGTTCCCAAATTCTGGGATTATATGGGACACTGCTCCTGGCTATGAAGTCTTTCTGTATAAGTCCATCAGTCACATGATAAGGGCCTCATTCTAACTTCACTAGCTCTTGAAAAATTTATCTCCAAATTGGCAGTCAGATATGGGAAGTTGGAGCTTCAGTATATGAATTTTAGTGAGACCATAGTTTAGCTTGTCTGTTGACAGAATGTGGTAAAAGTAGATAGTCAGCATGGAAAAACAAGTACAATTTAAAGTGACTTTTCCTTTTCTTTGATAAGATGTGTGTAGAAGTACATTTGTTCTGTGTTTCTGTTGTGTACCTCCCAGCCGGAGAATTTTCATCCTCGGGCCTTCCCACCATGTGCCCCTGTCTCGGTGTGCGCTCTCCAGTGTGGATGTATATAGGACTCCTCTGTATGACCTGCGTATTGACCAAAAGAGTAAGTACACAGAGATCATGCAGTTTTCACATGGCCAGAGCTCATTGAATAAGGATTGCAGTTTAATTTAAAAACATTGAAAGACACAAATATCATAAATAATATCTCAATTAAATGTTTTTGGTTGTAACTAATCTGTATAAGTCAGACACAAAAAAGTAGTATTTTCCTCAAAACAATAAAAACGTGTTAAAGGCACTTGGCCCCATACCATAGTGGTTACATTTATATTTAGAGAAATACTTTTTTTGTATTGCGCTGTAAAGCAAGAAATTAGTATACATGACAACCTGATAAAAGACTTGGCAGGTTTACTATATTTTTATGTGTATCACTTTTTTTCACTTTAAATGATGGTGATAATACTTTCATTTCCTCTCATTGTTTTTTATGGGAAAATTATTCTATAGGTTTTGAGGCACTGAAAGGTGGTACAGAAACTTTAAATATATTTTGTTTTAACGTGTTATTTTGTGTGTGTATACGTATGTATGCATGCATATGGGCTTACATATTTATAGGCGTGTGCGTGTGTCTGTGTTATGTAAAGGTACATGTGTGTGCTATGTGGAGGCCTGAGACTAACGTCAGGACTCTTCCTTGAGCATTCCACCTGATATACCGAGGCAGTGTCTTTGACTGAGTTCAGAACTTGGTATTTTGGCTTGCCTGGCTTGCCATATATATATATATATAAAATCTGGGGATCTCCTTCTGCCTCTGTGCACTGAGGTTACAGATGGAACACCACACCTGCCCAACTTTTTACATGGATTCTCAGGTCCCAACTCCAGTTGTCAAGCTTTTCTGGTAAGCATTTTACCTGCTAAGACGTCTGTCCAGGTCCCATGTCTGTTTTGATTTTCTTTCTAGAGGGAAAACAATTTGTGTGTGTGTGTGTGTGTGTGTGTGTGTGTGTGTGTGTGTGTGTGTGTGTGTTCGTTCGTTCTCCTGTGAGTGAGTGTGTGACATTTGTGTTTGGGTACTGTATGTTCCTTTTTCTGTGCTGTCTACTTTTTTCTTTGGAGACAGTGTCTCTGCTGGCCTAGTACTCACCTAGAAGGTTAGGCTGGCTGGCCAAGGAGCCCTGTCTTCACCTTCCATGGAAACATAAGCGTGCACCACCATGCCGGGTATTTTTGTATTATTCTAGGAATCCAATTCAGGGTGAGCAGTCGTCTTCCCAGTCCCCAGATGTCATCTTTTATTCACTTGTTTCTTATACAATGTATGTCATGTAAAAAACAAAACGAAACAGTATACAGAGTAGAACAATTAATATTGCTGTATTCATTAACCACAGTTTACACTGAATTTTCCTTCTTTCTGCATCATAACCACTTTTTATGAAGTTGGGAGTGTATCCCTCAGTTCATTATATTATATTTTAAGTATATAAGGGATGCTATTTATTGTTTTGTTAAAGTTCATAGCAATTTACATTAAATAAAAGCATCGGTAAAAGATGGTTAGCTCACTTAGGCCTTATTTAGGCTTTGGTTTTTATAATTTGAGGTTGTCTCATAGAATATTAGCAGTGTTATTTGAATAGATCTTATTAATCAAAATAGAATATTGCCTTCCTGATTGAGATGACTTAAGGGACACACTGCTTTTTTCTTATTTTTAGATTTATTTATTTGATTTAATGGGTATGAGTGTTTTGTTCACATACATATCTGTGCACTGTGTGCCTGCCTGGTAGCTGAGGAGGTCAGAAGAGGGCTTTGGATTCCTTGGAACTGGAGCTGTAGATGGTTGTGAGCTACTGTGTAGGCTCTGGGAATCGAACCCTGGTTCTCTGCCAGAACAAGTGCTTTAACTACTGAGCCAGCTCCCAGCCCCATCTCTCCAGCCCACCTGCCCTTTACTTTTAAAAACCTTATTTGGTACAAAGCAAAGAAATGGATAATTTTTAAAAAGGTATTTTGTAGAAATGAGGTCTTAACTACCATTTTTTGCCTTTGTTTTTTTTCTTTCTCCTCTGTTCCTCTTTCCCTCCTCCCGCTTCTCCCTTCTTTCTCGTTCATTCCTTCCTTCCCCCCTCCTTCCTTCTCTCCCTCCTTCTCTTCATCCCTTCCTTCTCCCCTTCTCTTCTTTTTCTTACTTTTTTTTTTGCTAAGGATTTTGCTAAGTAAACTCAACCAGACCTCTGTAGCTCAGGCTGCTCTTGAATTCATGAGCCTCCTGCTTTAGCCCGAGGTTGTTGGTGTGTGTTGCAGACCTGACTCTAAGTTACTTTTCCATTGTGTTTGGCATACTAAATTTCATGTCTTGCTTTACAGTCTTCAGGTTTAAGTATAGTTCATCAGAAATATCCAGATAGCTAGATTATTTTAAGTTGTCATAATACTGTGGTGGATTTATGATTTCTGCCATAAGTTAAAATTTGAAATTTGGAAAAAATTTGGAAGTGAGAATTTTATGATGTTGATATGGTGGAAACATGAAGTGAAATAATAAAACTACACAATTTATTATAAAAAACAAAGCAAACATAAAAAACTATATTGTTAATATATGTAAATAGATGGTGATTTTTCTCTGTTATAGTAGAAATTCTAGTGAACTGTTTTGGCTAGAACATTTAGATTAAAATCCAAAGAATAGCCTAGACCCAGAGTTTATTTTAGAATTATTAAAAGGAACTGATGAAGAATGTACTATGTTTCTATCCAAATGGTAAGTCTTTACATGCATTATTTTATGTAATAAAATTAGCCATGTGTCTTTCACTTATAGTAAAAAATGGGGTATATGGTGTTTTTGTTTCTTGCCATAGCTTATAGTTTTGTGTTGCTGAGTGGAAGCTCATAAAATAAATGTATGCATTAATATTTGTTTTAATATATTTTGAAATTTCTTTAGTTTATGGAGAGCTATGGAAGACAGGAATGTTTGAACGCATGTCTCTGCAGACAGATGAAGATGAACACAGTATTGAAATGCATTTGCCTTATACAGCTAAAGCCATGGAAAGGTATATGATTAATATAAGAACTCCTAGAGAAGTCACAGAGTTTAATGTCTTGGAATTATTTTAGCTTAGGATAATTTTTTAAAGCAAGGAAATTAAAAATTTCTTAATTAAAATGAAATAAAATTGGAGATTGCAGTGTCTTTATAACGACTAAAGTTGATTTTTAACTAGTCTATTAAGGTTGAACATATGAATTAATCTGATTATTTTTTTTAAAGTGGAAATTAAGACAACAACCCCTACGTGTGTTTGGGTTGATGTATCTTGGTTTGCTTGGTAGCCAACTGACATTTCAGTATCTTAGAATAATCATTATTTTTAGTACAGTGCTGTAGTTGTAAAACTTTAAATTTAGAAATAGCTTTGAAAGTCACTCTTTTCAGAATTTTGTAAAGGTACATGAGATTCTTACACTTAACTGAGGATGATGATGATGTGTAGTACCTGCTAAAGGTCTTCCTATCGTAAGGTGCCCCTGGATGATAAGTAATAGGAGGAAAGGGCAGGATCTGTTTTGCTCTCTACCATATATATGCTTTAGTGCCCACTTTTTTGCCCAACACATAGTAATTGATTTGTTTGGTAAAATGAAGCATAAACTGTTTCTAGAATTTTCTGTTTTCAGTGCCACATTTGTTTTTAACTGTTTAGCTGGGTCGTTTGGGCTCCTTTACTTTTCCTTAAGAAATGGACTTTCAGGGCTGGCATGGTGCAAGCCTGTAATCCTAGCATTTGTAAGGCTTGAGGAAGGAGGATCATTGTTTGAGGCCTGTGTGGGCAGTAGAGTAAGAAGACCCTGCTAGCCACAAAAAGTGGGGGAAAAAGTTAAAAACAATTCCAAACCAGAAGATTGCAAAAGGACAAAAACAGACAAAGGGGTGGTGGTGGTGGTGGTGGTGGTGTCCTGTTTTGTGCCTGAGTTTTCATTCACCGTGTATTGGTTTGAAAGCCTAGAGGCCTAACTCAGTGTTTTAGTTCAGACTGATCAAGTACTTTATAGGTTTTTTGTATATCAAATAAGAGCTGTATTCTATTAAGAAAAAATTGCCACCTGAGATTCTTTTGAGACTGCTTTTCTCTCCTTTGGACCCTAAGGTACGGTTGACAGGGAAGCTCTTTAGCCTGCAGGGCTGTGCAAGCCTGTGTTCCTAAGTTCTGAAGAAGGGAGCTCAGAGCTGCGCTTCATGTCACTGCCAGTTCTCTGATTTAGTCTTTGTCCCCATACTGGCTTTTATCTTTATCCTTTCCCCTCCTCCCTCCTCCCTCCCTCCCTCCTTCCCTCTCTCCCTCTCTCCCTCCATCCCTCCCTCCTGTCCGCCTCCCCTCCCTTCCCTCTTTTCCCTTCTTCCTCTTCTCCCCAGTTTTCCTTATTTTCTGTGTATATGTGGTGAGTGCATGTGAGTGTGCAAGTGTGTATACCATGTGTGCACACGAGGAGGTCAGGGAGGATATTAAATGTATTTCTTCTCTGCATCTAGTTATTAGTTCCTTAAGGCAGGTTTTCTCACTGAATTGAAAGCTCATCATTTTGGCTAGGGAGGCTTGCCTGTTTCTGTCCCCTAATACATGCTAGGGTTACAAGTACATGAAGCCTGACTTTTTTACTTAGGTGCTGGGGATTCAGACTCAGGCTTTCATGCTTGCCCAGTGAGTACTTTTGCCCCCTGAACCATCTCTTGAGGCCCCCACGATGGTTTCTGTGATAGTCTTCTGCCATCTGAAGAAGCTGGTGACGAGTTCTTTGCCAATCCAGAAATCCTTTATTATGAATTTTAACAGGTTACCAAGCTCATGATTTCCCCTTACACCTTCTGGTATGTGTGTATTAAAAAAAAAAAAAAAAAGCTACTAACACTTTGATTATTTTGGTGGGAAACCTGCCGATCCACAGATTCATTCAGTGCATTTTACTCTTCTAGGTTACTTGATGTGACAGTTAGGGATCGCTCTCCAGTGTGTAGTGTACGTTACACTTGTGGCTTCCTGTGGCAGGGGTTACACTGCTCCTTCAGTTTCCACAGTCACCGTGTTCTTTCAGCTTCGCTTTACTCTGTGTGCCAAAGGCCTGTGTGAGGTGTTTAGGTTCCTTACACTAAACTCCACCTCCAGCTGGAGGTTGTTTTCCTCCACGTCTGGTATGCACAGTGAGCCATGCTCTCATGTCTTCTTACTATTTTTGAGTTAGTTTGGTCAGAGGTTGTGGTGATGACTTGTCTGCTCCATTTGCAGCTGAGGCAGCGTGGTGTGGGCTGCAGGCTGCAGAATGCCTCTCGTCTTGGAGCTGTGGTGCTGAGTGCCTTCTGAGGTTTTGCAGCTCTCCTCTTGGTCTTCATCTCCTTCCACTTGCCATTACCCTGCAGGGGTTCTCTCTCCCTGGGGCCTCCTCCTTCACGCTAGTCTGGACCACTTGCAGTTGGCAGGTGAAGGTAGCAGTTGTGTGAACCTGAGATTGATTCCAGGACTTACTAAACCTAGGTCTGGGACTGGCACTGCTTTACTTCCATCATGTTCTACTCCTCAAAGCAGTTGACAAGTCTAAATTCAAGGGAGTCTGATGGGGAAGGACTTTGGACCTGAGGTGGGAGTCATTTTGAATGGTTATTTTTGCAGATGATAAAGCTAACTCTTTGGATGAGAAATCATTCTGTTTTTCTTTTATGGTAGTTCTCTATCTAGTAAGTTTTCTGCTTGGAGCAACTAGTCTAATATATATCTATAGCCTGTGCCCAGTGTAAGCCCTGGTCCAAATAATTTCAGTTATTAAGTTATTGAAAATAGATAGATATATTATCTTAAATATAGAATCATGCTTTTCATATCACGAATTCTATGCATGTTATTTTTCTTGCTCCGCGTGATTACACAAGAGCTAGTAGTATCCAGTTGTGGTAGCAGCATATGCCTGTGATCATAACATTTGGGAGGCTGAGGAGGGACAACCACGATGCTTGTGACTTGTGTTGTTATTTGTCTTTGTTTTGTGAGACAGGGTTACACTCTAGTAGCACAGAATGGTCCTCTTCCTCAGCCTCTTGTTGGGATTGTAGGTGTGAGCCACCACACCTGGTTTACTTTTTAAATCAGTCTTTTAAAGATTTACTTATTTTTATTTATGTGCATTGGTGTTTTGCCTGCATGTATACCTGTATAAAGATGTCAGATCGCCTGGAACTGGCGTTATAGACCCTTGTGAGCTGTCATGTAGGTGCTGGGAATTGAACCCGGGTCCTCTGGAAGAGCAGCCAGTGATCTCAACAGCTGAGCCATCTCTTCAGTCCCTAAATCATTTTTTTAAACATTTAACTTAACTCTGCTCCCCATTACTATTACAAACATTATATAATTTTTTGAAAAGTGACTAATATATTTATAATTCTATTTTACTTTATTTTTTCTGTTATTTGTAATTCTATTGTGTGTATACACACACACACACACACACACACACACACACACACACACACACACACACACACACAAAGACAAAGTTTCTTTGCATAACCTTGGCTCTCCGGGATCATGCTCTGTAGACCAGGCTGGCCTCGAACTCACAGAGATCCCCCTGCCTCTGCCTCCTAAGTGCTAGAATTAAAGGCACGTGTCACCATCATCCAACTTCTGTTATCTTGTTTATTTTATTTCATTTTTGGATTTTTGAGATAGGGTTTCTATGTAACAGCCCTGGCTGTCCTGGAACTCACTCTAGATCTGGCTGGTCTTGAACTCACAGAGATCCACCTCCCTCTGCTGGGATTAAAGGTGTGCGCCACCACCACCTGGCTAACTTCTATTATCTTAAATGTAAAAACTGATGATTTTGTTTATTTTGCATTTTTAAAGTGTGTGTCTATACACATGTTGTGCAGGTATTTGTATGTGGTATGGAGGCTGGATGCTGATGTCTCTCTTGATTGCTCTTCATCTTACTTTTTGGGACACGGTTTCTCTCTGAACTCAGAATTCACTTCATGACTAGATTGGCTGGCCAGTGATTTCCAGGATTTTCTCCTCTTTGTCTCCCAAGAACCAAGGTCACAGATGTGTGTCACATGTCTAGCTTTTTACTTGGGTGCTGGGTATAAAACTCAAGCCTGTGCTTTGTATCAAGTACTTCACTGATCAGAATCTCTGCAGCCCTTCCTGGAACCTCTTAGAAACATTGGATGTCTGCGCTGCAGAGTAATAGGAGAATGCCTGCCTAGTATGCTCAAGTCCCTGGGCTCCACCCTACACTGACTGGAAAAAAGACTATAAAGAAAAAAAATGTAAAATGACTCATCCTATTGCTCATCTTATTCCTCTGATACTTAAAAAATAAAGACATGATTTCAGATTGTAAATCGAATCATGAAGGATAAAATGAACAGTGGAAGTCTCTCTGGTCCCATTTAACATATTTATCATGAGTAAAAATGGTTAAGAATACACTAATGTGCATATAAGTTTGTATACACAGAATTTTTTTTTTTTTTTTTTTTTTTTGGAGACAGGGTTTCTCTCTGTAGCCCTGGCTGTCCTGGGACTTACTCTATAGACCAGACTGGCCATGAACTCAAGAGATCTGCTTGTCTCTGCCTCTGAAGTGCTGGGATTAAAGGCCTATGTGACCATTCTTGGCCCATCTTGTAGTTTAATGTTGCTTGGACACACACACACACACACACACACACACACACACACACACACTATTTATTCATTTAGAATTTATCAAGGCAGGGTTTCTCTGTGTAGCCCTGGCTGTCCTGGGACTCAGAATCAGCTTTCCTCTGCCTCCCAAACGCTAGGATTAAACATATATATGACCATCTCCTAGCCAGCAGTTTTTAATGCTTATAAACCTACATGTTTTGTTCCATTTTCCCATTGTTTTATAGTTAATTCATAATAAACTTTATTATCAAATACAACTAATTGATTTTGAGGAATTAGGATATGTAAGAATTATATCTTGTAAAAATGAAATTGAGATTATTATGAAATCATAATTCCTGTTAGGGGAGTTGTTGTTGTTTGGAGTTTATAGTTTGATCACCTCTTTTTTATATTTATTACTTTTTTTCTTTATTTGGTTTTTTTTTTTTTTTTTTTGACAGGGTTTCTCTGTGTAACAGTTCTGGCTGTCCTGGAACTCACTTTGTAGACCAGGCTGGCCTCGAACTCACAGAGATCCACCTGCCTCTGCCTCCCTCTTTATTTGGTTTTTATACCTTAAAGTTTTTAATTTAAAAAATGTGCAGAAGTAGTAAGAAAAATAGCATTGAAAGTGTTTGATTGAAAAAAGTATTTTGAGTCTGGAGGATTGGCTTACAGTTAAGAGCGCTTGTTGCTCTTATGGAGGACCTGGGTTCATCTCCCAGCACCCATATGGCCTTAAACAACTGTCTATGACTGCAGTGTTTGGAGATCTAACTTCCTGTTCTGGCTTCCTTGGGCACTGCATGTTCAAGGTGCACAGACATTCATGCAGGCAGAATGCTCATCATGCACATAAAATAAGAGTAAATACATCTTAAAAAAATAACCACCAAAAAACCAAACAGTCAACTATTGGTAGCTGGGCATGGGGTGGTGTGTGCCTGAAATCCTAGTATTGGAAGACAGAGACGGGGAAAGTGAACTTGTATGACACAGCAACACTTGTCTCCAAACAAAATTAACACACACAAGTCACCAACTGTTCAGATTCCTTACAGCTTGTGTTAGTTTTGTTACTGCCATTGTTTTAGAAATGGAACACTTGGGAGTGTCTTTGTAACTCTCTTTAATCTTCTGCTTTGATTGGTTCTTTCCAATCTTAAAAGTTCATCATGGCTGGGATTGATAACTTTTTGGAGATTCTTATAAAACACCCTTATTTTTGCATGGTCGATTTAAATAGTGAAGGCTGTTATTTATGGTTATTGTGTATAATGTTATAAACATTTCTTGTACAAGTCTGTGTGTCAACATATATTGTTTTGTAAGTAGGAAGCCACACCCAGATACTAGTATATTGTATTGTCTTTGCCCACTGTCCTTCTGTAATAATATTGGATATTTTTAGTCTGAATATTGTATGGCCCAGAAAACCTAAGTGTTTTATGGTCCCTTTAAAAAGATGTTTGCAGTAGGGCAGTGGTGGCCCACACCTTTAGTACCAGCATTCAAGAGGCAGAGGCAGGCGGATCTCTATGAGTTGGAGGCCAGCCTGGTCTACAGAATGAGTTCCAGGACAGCCAGGGCTACACAGAGAAACCCTGTCTCTCCAAAAACCAAAAATAAAATAAAATAAAAAAGAAAAAAAGATGTTCCCTGATCCCATTGGTCTAGATGAGTTACAGCTTTACCTCTTAAAATCCTTGGACATAGTTTGAATTAATTGTGACTGGTATGAGGCGAAAGTTGTAAGTTTATTTTGGTGGGGAGCCTCGTCTTTAGTTGGAGTAGGTGAGGATCAGATTTGTTTGGTTAGTGTTTTCCATGAGATTTAGAGGACATTTTCAGCAACTATTCTCTCTTTCTTTCCTCTGTTTGGGTTTGATGCTAGTTTGCATGCTTCATATTGTCTTAAATTCCCCAATTCTCTTTATATTTCCTCACTGTTTTTCTGTGGTTCAGATTGGCTAATGATTTAAATTAAGCTTTGTCTTTGCCTGTCCCCTCAGTTGAAGGCAGGATCTTCTCTGTGGTCTGGGCTGGTTGCTATCCTCTTCTCTTAGCCTCCTCAGTATGGCTGCACTGCTGTACCTGGCCTCGAGCCCACTGCTGATCGCAAACATTCACCCTTATTAAAAGGTTAATTCTGTTCTCTGATCCAATAGGTAAATGTTTTCATTTAGTTGTACTTTTCAGTGATCCATTTTTTTTTTTTTTTTTGGTTTTTTTTTTTCAAGACAGGGTTCCTCTGTGTAGCTTTGTGCCTTTCCTGGAACTCACTTGGTAGCCCAGGCTGGCCTCGAACTCACAGAGATCCGCCTGACTCTGCCTCCCGAGTGCTGGGATTAAAGGCGTGCGCCACCACCGCCCGGCTCAGTGATCCATTTTTAAAAAACAGTTTGCATTACTTTGTTGATATTGGTGTATTTCTTGTTGACACACTACACACGCACGCACGTACGCACGCACGCACACATTAAGGTGGTGTTTTAAATAGCTTTCTTTAATTCTTTGATTATATTTCTCAGAACAATTTTGAAATTTACTAAATCTAAGCATTGAGCTGATTTTAACATTTATTGGCTATTATTTTTATAGAGTGTCATAATTTGGTGTTTTTTTTTTTTAACATAGATTATATTTTTTTCTTGAGTGGTACATTTTATGTAGTCTTGTAGTAATTCTGGTTTTATTCATTTTCTCCATGCAGGCTTTATTATTTAGCATTTTGTATGCATTCCAGCTGCAGAATTTGTTTTCCCACTATTATTTCAAGAAATTAGTATTTTTATGTTTTCACTCAGCTTTCAAGGACTTTGCCAGTGATTGTAGTTTAGTATTTAGCAAATGATTGCTTATAGGTTGTATTTAAACATCATGAGCCCAGGATGCTTTCACTGTCTATGCGGAGTGTTGTGTACTTTGGGGAGCATAGTCCAACAAGCTCAGTGTGTTTCTACTTCCCCTTCCTCTTGAGTTGTCTTCTGACTCCTGGGTGAGCCCTCTACAGCTGAGCCAGTCCCCCAGCATTGCAGGCATGGCATGTGTGATTAGCTTCACCTCAAATGTCCTGGTTCTTCTCTCTCATACTCAGAGGCTCTGGAATTTTAGTGACCTTGGCATCTTTTGGGTCAGCCAAAGTTATGTGGAGGATGAAAGTCCCATTCTTTAGGATTTTAGGACAATTTATCAAGTGTGTGGCCCTTCCCTATCTAGGGTCGTCCTATTAAGTTTGTAGCTAATCCGTAGGCTTTGGTGTGCTCCACTGACTTCAGGCTGAGGAACGTGTGAGATTCTCTAGTTTGCACTTAGCAACCTGCAGCTCTGCTGTGGTGGGTCTTCTCTGCCTGTGGCACTGGGCAGGGATGGAGACGGCCTACTGATCTTAACAGGAAGTGGTTATGTGTCATGAAGAGACACGCTGTTTTCCTCCTCTTTAGTTGACTTAAGTGCACAAAAATTGTTGTTTAAAAGCTTTATCCAGTTTTATAATTTTTTCAGTGGGTATATTTGTACTTTACTGGAAAATCAACTTCAGAACTTGGATTTTAAGATTCTTTAAGACCCAAAAGTACTTATTTTTCTTTTTTTATAATTGATTTTTATTTTATGTATATTGGTGTTTTGCCTGCATGTAGGTCTGTGAGATTTTGGAGTTACTGACAGTTGTGAGCTGTCATGTGGGTGCTGGGAATTCAACCTGGTTCCCCTGGAAGAGCAGCCAGTGTTCTTAACTGTTGAGCCGTCTCTCCAGTCCTGGTACTTATTTTTCAAAGTCAAGTGTTCTTTTTTTTCTAATTCATGCTCATGGAGACAGAGAAACAGTAAAATTTTAAAAATGGCAAGAAAGACTGACATGATGAGCCATGATTCACTCCCTTGGTTTTTGTGGTGGACTGGACTTTTTTCTTTGTAGAGATAGATTTATATGCTCGTTGAGATTATTTGAAGGTTTGGGTCTGTGAAGAGTAGATTTGTTGTTTCTGCAGAGCAAGCCATCTGCAGTTGACACTTGATGACTGTGTGCTTCATGTGATAACTTTGATCAGATAGCTTTTCTAGGTGTGATCCTTCTGAAGATAAGGGCAACCATTTCAAGTGCCACAGGAATGGTCTTAAACCCACCTCTGGCTTCCCTTTGCTTCTTATCATTTGCACAACAGCTGCTTCCCTACCATACCATAATTATTTGCAATCTCTTTGATCTTCATGTATTTATTTTTGGAGGTAATTTTCGAGGTTAGAATAATTCATGGCAGTTACCAAAAATTTTTATTAGAAGCCAAAATTCTTTCAATTAATAATTCACCTGATTAAAGAAAAAAGCCTTGTTTGCTCTGTGTAGTTACTTGGCAAACTGGTAAGAATCAGAGAATGAGATGTCCCATGGCAGCTTCCTCTGCCAGCTTCTTCTTTTTTTCCTTACACCGTAGATGCAGATTCTGCCCAAGAAGCCCCTGCATTGCAGAGGGACTGGAGGTCTGTATGGTCTGTTTATTTCGCAGTTGACAAGGGTAAGGGGGCTGCTGTGGGGGAGGTGTTGGGGGCCCTGCAGTAGTGGCATACAGCTTAGCCAACATTTATTTTGTGATTGCTTAAACTTAGTGTTAAAAACAAAACAAACCCTTTTATGAAGTCTGTTTGTCCTATGTCAGGTTATTAACATTAAAAATAGTTATTAAATGCTGAATTTAAAAGTCCTATTCAAAACAAGTTTAGACAAACATAATTCATGCTTCTAAAACTCTTAGGACCATTGATACATAAATACTGAATATATATATATATGTATATATATATATATATACTATTAAAATTCCATTATAGTGAACAATTTTAAATATTTTGTAAAATGCAGTAAATTATAGTTACTTAAAATCATAGTCGCTTAAATCATGGTTATTAATCTGTTTTGTTTTTTTCCATAAATTTGTCAGTCAAAAGTAACTGGATATACCATAAATGATGTGGGTGGGTGCGTGTGTCTTTTGGGGGGGTGTATTAGAAATGAATATATCCTTTAATTCTTTTGTTACTCTTGACATCAGTGAAATTTGAGTTGTATTGAGGCTGGCATGTATTTGACTGTTGGGGTTAGCAGTCGATGAATCTCACAGGAGCCAAGTTCAAGTTATGTAGGTCGTGCTTTGCAGGCTTATAGAATAGGTGCCAGAAATGGTGTATATTTACAAGATCAAATTGAAGTAGATGAGGAAGGCTTTCATGCTCTGAAAATGGTAGGACTGGGTAGGTGATCATAGCTTTCATGAATAGTTGGGGATGGTCTGATGGACTTACTTTGGAACATATTTTATACCTGGAAGTATAATAGCTTTGTTTACTTAAAGCAATGCACGTTTTTGGTAACTTAAAGAGATACTTTTAGTATTTTGTACTTGTTTTAAAATCAGCTTCCTTCAAAATTTCTTTTGTAGAGTTTTAGAATTCAACAATCAAATATGTCTGTTATCATTATCACTGTTAATAAATGTTCCACTTTTTAATGCCAACACATTGGAAAAATATTTTTAACTTTAAACAGCTTAAATGACTTTTATTTTTATTTTTATTTTTTCTGTTTTCTTTAAGCCATAAAGATGAGTTTACCATTATTCCTGTACTGGTTGGAGCTCTGAGTGAGTCAAAAGAACAGGAATTCGGAAAACTCTTCAGTAAATATCTAGCGGATCCTAGTAATCTCTTTGTGGTCTCCTCTGATTTCTGCCACTGGGGTAAGTCCTAGATTTTAACATACGCTAGATGCTGTGTATTTGTGCTTAAAGGGTTCTTTCCAGTCCAAGCTCTGATTCTCAATTCTTTATCACTTTTTGCAAAGTTGTATTTGTAGCAGCCATGTTTAAAAGTGAATAAAACAGCCTTTTGGTCATTTAACAAGGATGAGCAGAGGATATAGGCACATTTCCAAAGGCGACTGGTACAGTTGGATTCACACTGTGAGGGCATCCTTGCTTTTGAATACTTCTGTTAGTGGGAGTTAAAAACTGTTAGCCCCCATATTTGTGTACATATGTATAGTGCAGGGTCTTGGAGGTCAGGTTTGGTAGATAGAGCAAATTCTTCACAATGTAGAAGAGTACTGTGTGCTATACTGGTCCTTCTCAGATTTTCTTTTTTGTAATTAGTCTCTTTTCTTTTGGTGAATATTTTTTGTCCGCAATTTCAGTAATTTTTTTGAGTTGCCCTCTAATATTAGAACATACAGGCTATTAGCACTGTGATCTTCAAGTGGGTTTTATGATTATTGTAAACTAAGAGGAATGGTATTTTACAGTGACTAGATTGTAAAGAAGTGATATGTTGTGGCTATCTATCCTCTTCTAGGAAACTGATTTTGCTTTCTTTGAATACTGTGTGCTTTCACTTATCTTTAATTGTCTCAGAATATTTAAGTTTCATTCATTTTAGGATATCTCTTTGGCTCATTTCTTCACAATTTTAAGTCATACCTAATAGGTTCATTCTCTTCTGCTTTTATTATAAGGAAACATAAAACCATACTTTTAAAGATTAAATACCAAAATGCCAGAAAACATCCTCAGTGAGTTATATAGGGAGCCCTTTGCTTTCTCTTGTGAGAATTGAGTCGGCATTTTACCTCCTTGCTTGGGTTCTCTTTGCATTCTTCTCTGAGTAGACCTCTTAAGTTGTACTCTCCACTTGACTGCCTTCCATGGTATAGATAGTAGAATATGTAAATTACTAGCATTGTTGACACTAGTTCTCCATGAGTGTGGTTTTCCTCCTAGGGAAAATTGGAGAATAGCAGGAAATCTTTTTAGATTTCATTGTCACATCTGTGAAGTGATTTGAAGGATGATGAAGCATCTGCTATCAAATGAGTAGAGTTCAGGGAATTTTCTAAATATTTTAGTGTACACAGATCAATCCCCTGCCTCCACCCAATGAAGGTCGAAAGTATCTATAGTGCTGAGGTTAGAAACCCATTGTTAGGGTGTATGGGAACTGAGCTTCCTTCTAAAGACTTTTCTTGGGTTCTTCAGTAACTCATTCAGCTGTCTAGTTTGCATTATTTTTTCTGTTAGAAGTAATTTTTTATTCATGTCACTATATTTCTTAGATTCTCGGACCCATATAGAGGCTTAGAAGGGAATTCCTATCTCAAGAATGAGAAATTAGTCATAGTCGGTCTTGAAGTAAGGAGTACTGTTAGGAAGAAGAGCTTCCTCAGTGTGTAAGTTTCTCTCAGGAACAAGACATGCTCATGTTTTGGAAAAAAAATTTGAAGCAAATGTTTTTTCCTTTTTTATTTTTGAAGGCTCTTATGAATCACTTGATACTGTTCTCTTGATGCTCTCCAGATTACTCTTTCTATTTGGCAACATAGGCAACCACAACGTAAACCAGCATCAGATGTGGAGTTTTGAAGCTTTTTTTTTAAAAAAAAATTTATTTATTTATTATGTATACAGTGTTCTGCCTGCATGTAGGCCTGCATGCCAGAAGAGGGCCTCAGATCTCATTATAGATGGTTGTGAGCCACCATGTGGTTGCTGGGAATTGAACTTAGGACCTTTGGAGGAGTAGCCAGTGCTCTTAACCACTGAGCTATCTCTCCAGCCCAAATGTGTTTTTTTTTTTTTTTTGTTTGTTTGTTTTATGACAAGCTTTCACTGTGTTATCCAGGCCAGCCTCAAACTTACAGTCTTCCTGCATCTTTCCCCTGGGTGCTGGGATTGCAGGCATGAGGCATCATGCCTGGTAATAGGTGTAGTATTCCTGTTTTACATGTGTGTGAATCATCATCCTTTTACCTCTCCAATAAAGGATTGTTGTTGTTGTTAGTATTATTATCATTTTCTTTTTCCAGACAGGGTTTCTCTGTGTAGCCCCAGCTGTCTTGGAACTCCCTCTGTAGACCAGGCTGGCCTCAAACTCAGAATTTGCCTGCCTCTGTCTCTGAGTGCTGGGATTAAAGGCGTGTGTGTGCCACCAAGGCCTGGCTGTTATTTTTGTTATTGTTTTGAAACAGGGCCTTGCCTTGTACCCCTGGCTGGCTTGGAATTCACTATGTGGACCAGGCTGGCCATAAACTCAGAGATGCACCTGCCTCTGCCTCCTGAGTGCTGGGATTAAAGGAGTATACTACTGCTGCCTGCTTAATAAAGAACTCTTAATGCAAACATTCCTTACTCTACAGTTGAGAGAGAAAAATAAATTTGTTTTTTACAGCTAACCAAGATTCTTAGAAAGTTACAGTTGTTTTTCCTCAGGTTTCTAAAAAAGTTAATAATTAAGTTGTAATAGGATTTCCAGATGATAATTGAAAAAAGAAAAACCCTCAAAATTTTCTAAGGCTGGTAAATGGCTAGCAGTAAAGACCATCCAGGCTTATGTGTTTACATTGAGTGCTTAAGCGATGGAGCTTTTCCCAGTCCTCCATAGATAGCTGCAAATCATTACTGAGAGTCACTAAGTGCTCATTTTACTTACATAAGGCACTAATTCCTTCTGGGCAATTTGGGCAATAGTATGGCAGACCATGTCAGGTGTGATGTGGATAATATTTGAAAATTGACATCACAGAAAATAGTAATTGTCACTTTGTAAAGCATAACACTTTCTGGTTTGCATGCTTATTAAGGTGAATCATTAGCTAACTACAAGTTATGTCATTTAAGGAATCAAATTCATGTTTTTCAAATTTATATTCCAATAGTTGAGCTCTTTAGGAAGGTTGATATTTTGTTTCTTTTTCCTTTTCCTTTCTCCCTCTCTTGTAGAATCATGCCATTCCAGGCTGACCTTGAATTTGCATCCTTCTGCCTCAGCCTCCCTAAGTGGGTCCCAGGCATGTACCACTGCACCACGCTTTTCTTTTGTCCTACTTGTAAAGGTATGGGACATGTTGTTTTTAAGCCATATAAAAGCAGTCATAATGAGTGAATGGCCAATAATTTCCCAGGAGTGATTCAGTTCTTCAGTACATAGGCCTTAAACATTTCATTGCTTTAGACTCTTTATAATTCTAAGTAGCTGAAGTAAGTAATTTGAAATAAAATTACTAGTTTATGGTATTACTTGATTACAGATAGAAATACATAGTGGGCCTTTGTTTTTATTGAATTAGGCTAGTGGTAGTGACTACCTTGTTCTTCCTGGTATTTGTTCTCTTTGTTTTTTTGTCCAGCTTTTGTGGAAATGGTGAAAACTGTGCTCCTAAGAGATGCTTGGGAAGCTGACTGACAAATTGGAAGTGTAGTCTCCTCATTATCAGCCAGTGTCCCTTTATAAATACAATTTCTTTCTATAAAAATAGGTATTCATCTTTAGAGAGATACCAGAGTGAAAAAAGTGGAGAGACTAGAATATTTGGGAATCTTTGGGAATGAGGCAAGGCATGGGGTTGGGGGAGGAGCCTGTGTTCTGTCACCTAGCTCGCTCTTTGTGTCCCTCAGGGGAGTTCCCTAAAACAGAACTGCATTTCAGTCCCTGCTTTGAACCTTGTCATCGTCTTAGGCATGAGACCAATGTATCAGCCCCATAGTATGGAAGAGTAATAATCCTCTTTCACCTTACTACCTATTAGCTTTTGATTTTTTAAATCAAATGTTTACCAAGTTCTATTAATACTTAATATACTTACCAAGTTCTACATCCTGGAGGATGATTCAGTGTAGGAGAAACTTGTCTGGACTTCTTTCAATGATCTAATTAGTACATTTTTATCCTATTTCCCAAGTTTCAATTCTGACATTCTCCATATATACTGTTACTGTTTGTTTATGTCCTCACAGAAATTTATGTTTCCAAGTTTAGATTGATAACTTTCATTAGCATAAGTTTTAGTAAACTATTAACAAATTTTTAAACAAAATTAGACCTAACAAATTGGAAGTGAAGTAGTTATTAATTTGCCTTTATGGTGGTTTTACAAATCAGTTCCAATAAATTTACTAAGTAAATGTTTATGACATTATTTTGTTAAAATATAACTATAATCTAGTGTAGTTTCTTTAGCAATTTAAAATTTGCTTAGATTATATCATTTTTTTCTTGAAGCTTGAGCTACTTATTCAAAGTAACCTTACCCAAAGCATTTATAAAATTTATACTATGTTCAGATTTCTTCTGTGCTGTTCATTAAGTGATTCATATATACTCCTTTTCCTGTTAAGTTTCTTAGTGCAAGGATATTTCTACTTTCTAAAGTCTGAAGTTGGTTTGAGTATGTTAGTTAATTCCTAAAATGTATCTTATCCAAGCCTATACATTTGTCTTCTCAGGTCTTTGTACATCTTCATCCCAGGTTTAGGGTTTTGACCTTTTTCAGTGTTGGGATAAGACTGATACTTTCTTTTGCATTGTAACAATTCAGGATGAACAGATGATAGATAGCATCTAGTTGTTAGAAAGAATGATCTTATTTGATAGAGCACAGATAGTATTTTCTTTGTGAAATACATTTTTTTCTTTGACTGTGATTTCAGTTCTAGGTGTTCAGAGGTTTAGGACCTCCTTGTAGAATGGCCTGCTAATCTCCCTACTGGATTTGTGGAAGGGTTCACACATTTGAAAAATGGCTCACCATTAGCAAAGTGAAGAGTTAATGTACACAGAACAGATTCTATTGGTTTCCTACTGACTGATACTTTGGGGGTTTTGCAGAGTAACATTATTAGGTCATTGCTTATTTCAGCAGGCTAGTGTGTAGCTTACTGTTGAGGTGTTTAATTTGTTTCTTTTTGTTTTGAGATCCTTCAAGCATAGTGTTGGTTCTTGTGCCATCCATCGTTGTCTGTCCTCATTGGTTGATTGTTGTGTGTTAAACAGACATCCTTGGAGCTTCCTCTCCACACTCTGTGAATCCACTCATTAATCAATCACCAGTCACCTTTGGAGATGGGAAAATTACTTACCTGTATTTCTTTTTCTCAGAAAGCGTGCTCTGGAATGGATTCACAAATGAGCTACCCTCCTTCCCTCAAAGAGTAAGGTTTCTGCTTTACAGGATTTTTTTCCCTTGGGTTATTTTTCCTCTCATCTTTTGAATTTGAAAAGAACTGAGGGAAGGCACCTGAAGAAACCACTGACATACTCACTAGGGAGTTCCAGAGCTTGTCCCGCCCCTAGGGCGGTGTCCATGGCTCTTAAAGCTAGAAAGCTCATACTTGAAGTTGAAACAGGGGCTCAAAGAATCCATTTTCCCAGTGTACCTTCTGAAAGGATAAGTTTCAGGTAAGTAATTTTCTCTACTATGTGATATGCTTTATTCATACTTAGAAAAGAGTGTACAATTCCCGTCCTCCAGTCATGGAGACAGATGTTTGTGCATAGTCAGCTTCACAATTGCCCCGAAAGTATAACAACTTATAGAATAAAATATTTTCTCATGAGAATCATGCAATCAGAATTTATTTTAAATGAACAATTCAAAACTAAAGGTGCATTTTTGATCAGTATATTATGCTAGTACTATCGTTTCCTTTATTAATGAACGAAATCTTGAGAAATTAATTTTTAAATAAGAAGTATCTTGACTCAGTTTCCAAGCAGCATTTGACTTTCATATTTGTGTGTGTAGGCACACGCATTCATATACTTGTGTGCATGCATACATACATACACATCCAGGCTAAAAGTAAGATGAAATCAGCTATTCAGATTAGATGCAGTATCTCTGTATTGACTAGAATGGGTTGTTCAAATAATGTGAAAATACTTGTATAATTTAAAAATTATCATGAAAACATTATAAGCTGTTAATGAGTAAAATATTCAGTACTTGCATGTACTGAAAATTTAGTTTCTTTATTGCTATGAGCTATTTATCTTTATCTTTTAACTTTTATACTACTAAATGTGAGTTGGTCACAAAAAAATAACAGGTAGCAAAATACTAAACATTTGTTCCAATTGGTTTCCTATGTATACTCACATTTGCATTAAATTACATGATGATTCCAATATTTTAAAGTATTTCCAACATCTGTGCCTTTCTTCAGAAATACTTTAAAGTTAGCTGGAAGGTCATCTGTATGGTATAACCTCACATAAACACAGTTACACCCCTTGCTCTCTTGGCAAGGTTGTTACTTGAAAACAACTCCTCCTTGGAAGTGAGCAAGGACTTTTGAGTAGCAAATAACTGTCATGAAGCACCCAGGAATAGCAGTCTTTTGTAGGCATAAGGTTTACAGATAGTAGCCAAAAGGAGCAGCCGTTTCCAGAAGCAGGGAAAAGAGAATACAGTTGTATAAACCTGAAATAGTCCAGCTTTAAAAGAATTGAGACAGAGTACTTTGATCTTCTAGAATGTTATTTTTAGAATAGTGGCAAGGAAGCAGAATTTCCTTGTTTAAGGTGTTCATTTAATTGTTTTGCAGGAGACGGGCAGTTTTATCAAAATAACTTTGAAGTAGACATGAATATAGTACCAGTGAGTTGAGTCAGTAGGCTAGGCTGACTGAAATGTAGATTTGCCTTCATATAGTCTCCTTACAACTACCTGGCAAGTGTGGAAAATGGGGTCAATTGTACAGTCCTTATGGTCAGACAGTCCTCACTACTGTGCATAATACACCTTCTCTAAAGAAAAACCAAGTTATAAGAAAAACATACTGCATTATTTAACTCAAAGGCCAAGTTGAGGGCTAGCAAGATGAGCTTCTGAGCAGAAGTGCTTGCCAACAAGCCTGAACTCTGAAGGTGATCCTTGGACCTAAGGTAGATGGAGAGAGCTGACATTGCAGGCCATCCTGAATTTAATGACAGAGATGTCTGCATGCGGCCAGACATGCTGTGAGATTTACTACAGTCTCTGAACTGGAAGGATTCATAAAGCCAACAATCATCACCTACCACACAATGCCGCATGTGTGTGCACTTGGACGTGTATGTACATTAAAATATACCATGTCTAACTGCGTGCAGTCATCTTTGTCATTAAATTCAGAGAACAGACTAGTTCACAGCCTGTTCAATTCTAGGATACCAGCTATAAGAGAACTTTAATAATAGCTCTGTGGAAAGTTAATAGTTATTATATTGAGTGGCATTAGGAGATAATATAAACATTTAAATAAGAAAATTAAGAAATATGGTGCATTTTAGGAAAGTAAACGTAAATAAAGAGATTAGCACCCACAAATGAAATACTGAGATACATGGTGTGTTTTTTAAGAAGATAACAAAGAGAGTTTTATAAATTTGCACTGATCATTATATGTATGATAGTGTTTTCAATAAGATGAACAGGAAACTTAAAAACACCATAAAATTCCAACGGAATCTGCTTTCTCAGTTGTGAGACTAGAAGTTGGACTTATCAATAGTTGTAGACATAATGCCTAAGGCACAGTTGTGTGTACATGATGAGTATATATCTGACACCATTAGAAACACATTTTGGCAAAGCTTTAAAAATTAGGAAAATATGGACTGAGAAATGGCTCGGTGGTTAAGAGCACTGGCTACTCTTCCAGAGGACACAGTTTCAATTCTCAGCACCCAGTTGATGGCTTATACCCAACTGTAACTCCTGTTATCAACCTCTTCTGGCCTCTACAAGCACCAGGCATGCACGTGGTAAACAGACAGGCAGGCAAACACCCCCACACATAAAAAACAATTAAAATTTAAAAAGGAAACATAAAAGTAAAGAACAGCATTGCTGAAAGCTATATTAGAGGTATCTCAAATCTGCCATAGTTAATCTGTAATTAGTTATGGATATTACCTTTTGAATTTCATATTACTACATTAGGAAGCTATTTATTTTCTGAATCTTTGTTTTCTTTTTCTTTCTTTTTAAAAAATGTCTTTGTAATCTCTGCTATTTGAAGAGTAGCTGAACATTGACTATTTTGTGCTTGTACTCTGAGCTGGGGATTTCATGTCAGTGTAGGACAGTTGATTCATTCTTTTGTGAGTTCTGTTCACGTTGCATAAGGCACGTGTATCGGTCCTTTTCCTTAAAAAAATAATGGCCGTAAAAATCTCCCAAGCTTCAAGTATGGCTGACACATACATTTGCTCCTGAAGAGAGCTCAGCAGTGATAACCCCACTGAGATAGTTTCTGAAGTTTTCTTGAGTCGTAGTCTTGGGGTTTACCTTCAGTTATAGGCTGAGAGGATGTTTAACAATGCTTCTAACTTTAAGCTCTTGGTTTCCTTATTCTTGTATTGCTGGTGATTTTAAAGTTTCTGCAGTATGAAATAGTTTTTAACATCTTAAAATTCTGGTGATGTGTCATTTCTTTATTACCTTCCCAAATATACCTCTTTATGTTGAGGGCTCTTGGGAATTGATTCTTGCAGAGGCTTAAGCTGTGCTTTGCCTTTTGTGAGAACTGAAATTATTTGGTAAGCGCTTGCTTTCTTTTTAGCTTCTAATTTTTCCCTATTTTATTTTGTACATGATATTTGTTTCAAGGTCAAAGGTTCCGTTACAGTTACTATGATGAATCCCAGGGGGAGATTTATAGATCCATTGAACATCTAGATAAAATGGTAAGTCTTTCAGGTGTGGGGTTTTAATGCTCTAAAAATCTTTTAATTCTAGATTAGTGATTTGAGATTGACTATGTTAAAATATACAATGGGCTAACAGTTCTTTCCCTTTCTTGAATTAAAAGTACAAACTGCAGTGTGTCCTTGAATGGATAATTCCTCTAAGAACTTTCCTTTATCATACTTCTTTTTGATTAGTGAGAATATTTAAGAGCACTTAGATACAGATTCTAATTATATTTTTGGAGAAGTATTTGGTTGAAGGGGCAGTGGCATGTTAATGCTATATCTTGTGTTAAGCTGCAGTGGTAGGAGATGGTGGGATACGTGACTATAATTCCTTGATGGCCATCTGAAGTAACTTATTTTGAGTCTTTCTGAACTATGTTACTGTTCTTTGAAATTTATTAAATAACTTAGTTTAATTTTTAGATATGGTTTCTTAATAGGCCAGATTTATTCTTGTGATGCTGAAGATTTTCTGAAATACTTGATAAAGTATATAAACTAAAATCATAACTGTCTAATTGAAACACCAGTTTTTCAGTTATCACCTTTTTCCTCTGGAAGTAATGACCTTATAGCTCTTTCATTTTATGTTTTTGCTTTGCTGTGTATTAAATTCAGGGCTTTGCACATGGAGGACAAGTGTTCTCCTGCTAAACTGTGTTCCGGGTCTGATGACATAAGTTTATGATGACAGGTTTTAGTAATTTAGCAAACTTAAATTTTGTCTGCTGTACTGCAGGAATTTTTACAGCTACATCATTTTAATGTTTTTAAGTTTTTAAAGTTCCAGAAATATTTAGTTAGGAATTAATACCATATTCCAGATTTTTCAAAAACTTCCTAAAGTGAATTTAACCTTAGTGAAATTAATAACTTTAAAATGTTGTAATTTTGAGTTTTGGTGTATTTCTATAAAACCTCCTTTAAGTCTTGTTATGTATTGAATTGTATTTTCAATTTTCATTTATCATATTCAATTTGAACTTGAAATGTCTGTGGTCTTTAGCCTGTGTCTACTAAGGTATGTTGTTGGATTTTCTTTTACTCTAGCTCCATGTTGGAATGCCAAAATGTTGTTGTTGGTTTTTTTATTCCTACTCTTTGGGCTGTTTATTCCTTTGGGGGCTCACTACCCAGCTCCCAAATAAACCACACATGGAGGCGTAATCTTAATTATGAATGCCAGCCTTAGCTTGGCTTGTTTCTAGCCAGCTTTTCTTAACTTACCCATTTACCTTTTGCCTCTGGGCTTTTACCTTTTCTTATTTCTGTAAATCTTACTTTCACTCTTACTCCGTGGCTGACTGTGTGGCTGTGTGGCTGGCCCCTTGTTTCTTCTACTCCTTGCTCTCTTGCTCTTTCTTCTTTTCCTCTCAGATTTCTCCTTCTATTTATTCCCTCTGCCTACCAGCCCTGCCTTTCCTTTCTCCTGCCTCTGTATTGGCCATTCAGTTCTTTATTAGACCATCAGGTGTTTTAGACAGGCACAGTAACACAGCTTCACAGAGCTAAACAAAATGCAACATAAAAGAATGCAACATATCTTTGCATCATTAAATGTTCCACAGCATAAACAAATACAACACATTTTAAAATAATATTCTACAAAAAAGGAAACTACAGAAAGTACCTTAAGAAGACTGGATTACTTTTTATAAGTACAGATAATTTGCCTTTCTCCCCTTTTGTCTTTTGTTCTTTTTTTGTAGATATTTATATTAGTTTTTTTTTGGCTACTGGGCTTTCCAGTGTTGAATTTTATCTTGTTTTTCTAAATGTGACATTAAAAAAAAATACAATTCTTATTTTTTCTTGTATTGATAGTATTGATAGTTATACAGTTATTCTGGAAATATCTGTGGGGTATAACTCTTACCTCTACCTAAGTGGTTAGACTTTCAGTTTCCTTTCCCTGTTAAATTGTTCAGAGTGTAACCTGGGACCAGGACCTGAAAGTGATTTAAGGATGACAGGGTATGTGGAATGCATAAGCCTAAGGTAATTAATCACATTAATTACGTATATGTAATTTTTATAATTTTTAAAATTACATATATGGTCTACATTATATTTTAATTGTGCATTTCTGGTTTAGAGCACATAGGTATGTCTGGATGGTGGTAAACATTAACATTTTTTTGGGGGGGGTGCTGGAGAGATGACTCATCAGGTCCTGAGTTCAATTCCCAGCAACCACATGGTGGCTCACAACCATCTGTAATGGGATCTGAGTCACTCTTCTGATGTGCATGAAGACAGGTCACTCATATACATAAAGTAAATAAATATTTAAAAAACATTTGTTTTCTTTAAAAGTTATTTGAGAGGTAGGTCTAATTGTGTAGCTTTGTTTGGCTGGAAACGTACTATTTAACCCAGATTCACCTTGAACTCAGAGAATCCCTCTTGTGTTCTGGGATTCTAGGCATGAGTTACTGTACTTGGCTGGAGGCAAACATTTAAAAGTCAATGTTGTGTGGAGGGCAGATAGAAAGGAAGGCGGTCAGTGCCATTGTCAGAGAGAATGGAGGGAAGAAAGGGTAGTTAGGTCAGAGTGGTGAGGAAATCAAAGGACAAACGTTAGGAGTTGTGTTTAGGGGAACTAAGAGTGAGTGATGAGAGAAAAAGGCTTTTAACTAGCAGGGCACAAGAATATCAAGCTACAAACTTTGTAAGAGTAGTTTCAGAAGAATGGTTTAAGTTAGAAGCTAAATTGGAACAGAGACGTGTCAAATTGGCAAGAATGTCCTCTGTCAGTTGACTGACACAAGGGAACGGTGTTTGAGCGGTATCTGGCTTGGATGAGCTGATCCACTGAGCATAGTCAGAGAAGGACTCTTGTCTTTCCCCTTTTCTTCCACCTCTTATACTCTCCTTGGACAATAGCCATCCTTTATATAACAGTGATATAAAAGTATGTCTCTACTCATACCTAGCTTTGCATTCTAAATCAAGATGGAAGTTGAGATCATTTTAAAATCCCCAGTAGCATTAATCACTAAATCTTAATTTTTGACTCTCAAAATATTGTCACTCATGTGGTTTTCATTCCACACTTGTTCATTTCTTCTGTTCGTTTAGGAATGACTGTCTAGGGGCTGGGGTTTGGTAGCTCAGTAGTAGAGCATCATGTTTAGTGTGCACAGGCTCTGGTATGTGCCTTTGCCTCACAATTATCTATAAGGAAGAAGTGACCGTGTCGTGTGCATGTGAAGGTTTTCTTTTCATTACAGTTGTCTTCACTTGTTTATTGATGTTTATTGAACTACTCTAAAGTAATTTTATAGGCCAGGCTGACCTCAGATTTGCGGACCTCTGGCCTTAGCCTGATAGACATATGCCAGAACACCTCAACATCAGGCTCAAAAGGTGCTCTTTAGCATCAAACATGTGTGCGCGCGCGTGCGCGTGCCTTGTGTGTATGTCTAACAATTTGTATTTTATTTTATGAAACAGTATTTTTAGTGCCAAAACCAGTAAAAATATCTTGATCCAGGACTGTCCTCTCATACTCCTTATATATCAGGTACTAGCTTAGTATTTTCACTGGAATGTCACATAAACAATTTCCAAGTTCAACATGGCAACAGTTAAAACTTCTGATTTTTTTTTCTTGACAAAAGTCTGTTTTTACAGACTTTTATAAGTCATTTGATGGTGGTTTATACTTTCTCAGCTGCTATTGTCATTTTCAATCTCAAATAGCTGAAAATAAAGCCCAAATAGATTTCCCCAAACCCCCCTAGACAAGGTTTCTGTCTGTAGTCCTGGCTGTCCTGAAACTTGCTCTGTAGACCAGGCTGGCCTCAAACTCACAGAGATCCCCCTGCCTCTGCCTTCTGAGTGCTTGGATTAAAGACGTGTTCCACCACTGCTGGGCCCCCAACAGATTTGTGAAAACTCAAATCACATTGTGTTATTCTTCTGGCCCATATCTATAATATTGTCCTATTTCAGTAAAATCCTTGTGTTTACATAGAAAAACCTAAAGGGATCAACAAGCTTTGCAAGCCTTCTTCCACGTGGTTCCCTTTGCTGTGGACAGACTGTTGGTTGATACTGCCCCATGTGTCCAGTGTCTGTCTTCTCCTTTGTACTTAACTGTTTCACTTACATACCTCAAACAGGGTCCACCTATATATAGCTTTGACTAGCCTTGAACTCACAAAGATCCACCTGCTTCTGCTTCTTGCTTCCCCAGCACTGGGATTAAAGGCATGCCCACCAAGCCTGGTTTCTTATCTAGCTCCTAACCAATTCAGTAGGGTCTGCTGGCCCCTTGTTCAGTTTTCATTCTACACTGACCCTTCTGGTGTTTGGTCCCTAACTACCTTAGTCTGCTTCACTGTTAACTTGTAAGAACCATATTTTCTGTCAGCCAAGCACTTCAATTTTTTCTCTAATGTATTCAAAGGGCCTAGAATAGTGATTGGATCATAAAAACTCAAGTGTTTTTAAAATGAATGAATATAATAATCTTCCTATATACACAGCTAAAAATATGAACACACTAATATAAAAGTGAGATAAAGGGAAAGTAATTTATAATAAATTAATGTCTTAAATCTCAGTGTTCAGAAACAGCTATGTTAGAAGACACAATGAAGTAGTAGGATCCATGTATATATATAGTATCAGTAAAACAGCAGTAAACACAGACTCCTACATGGCCATTGCCTTTGTTCCTTAAATTACTATGTGGCATTGCTGGGTGGCTTGAATTTTTTCCCCCAAAAGGGGAATAATTCTTAGTAAATAAATAAAACTTTTAAATAAAAGAAACTATAATATTCCCTCACTTTAGATGACGATTTCATCCATGGGAAAATCATTCTTTATTAAAACCTTGGAAAACTGTTTTCTTCTTCTTATACAAGGTGGAAATGGTACAGGTAATTAGAAGTTCTACCTAAATTACATATCAAAAGTCTTATGGGTGGAAAACAATTAATTGTGTATGGAATTTTCCTATATCAGCATCCTTAGAGCCT